GACCGGAAGGCCTGGGAACCTGCTAGTTTCCTTACACAGTGTGGGGGTGAGGGGCGCGGTAAGGAAACCACTCTATGTAGTCAGAGCTGGTGTAGACACTGGGTCAGAGTTCATACTGAGCTACAGGACCAAACACGTCTGACTGATCTTACCCCCAGCAGTAACCGTTAATACAGTGCAGCGGGCGTCGGGAGCACTCAGCACATGACACCGCCCGGCACAGCCCGTGGGACTCAGCAGGCCTCCACCAGCTCTCGCCGAATGTGAGTTGGCACGGCTGCGGCCGCTCCTGCGCCATATCGCTCGACTCACCTGCGAGGCGGACGGATCCCTCCCAGATTTATAGACGAAGCCGAGGGGAGAAGGGGAAGCTGACCTGGCTCGTGGGGCAGGTGTGGGTGGGCGAGTCCCTGACATGCCTTGCTCTCTTGTCTCTCCCCTGAACCCACAAGCTGAGCCAGGGGCACGGGGGACTCTGGCATTTGGCTCCGTCCACGGGAGAGAAGTATGCCCACGTGCCTGCAGCGTGCAGCCGCCTTTCCTCGGCGACACCGGACCCACTGTCATTCCCCGGCCAGGCGCCGTGCACAGCGACACTGCAAAACATTCGTGCTGAGTGTGCCCCGTCGCCATGGCAACCAGAAGCCTTTCAGGCTGGCACCGTGCACACAGCCTGCATTCATCCCATCTGGGGTGGGAACCTGTCACCACGGAAATAGCTCCCCCACCTGCACAGGAGGCTGCCTGACAGCGCAGGTGGGGGAGGCGCAGGAGCACTGGGCTGGGAGGACTCACCTTGGCCAGGCTGGCAGTGAAGAGCACACACTCGAAGAGCTGCCCCATCCTCTGGAGGAACTCGTCCACGTGCGGCCGCTTCAGCACATACACCTGCAACGGCAGGGACCGCGCAGCCTGTCAGTGACGGTGGCTGGCGGGGTTGGCCGGGGCCCAAAGGCCCACCGCAGGGAGGACGGCTCAGAGGTCCTGCCACCCGAGGTCAGGCGTGGCATGCAGAGGCCCAGACTGTCAGGGGCCTCCAGTCAGCTCTGGCTCTCCTCAGCTCAGTGCAGATGTGTCCCGCACGGGAGAGAGGGGGTCGGCTGGGACACTGAGGGTCTCGGGGATTTTCAGGACCGGTGAGTGGCAGAGTGGCACCACATCCGTGTGAAATGACTCACGTGTTTGACACGCCTCTCTTGGCGCCTGCTGTGGGGCAGGCCCTACTTGGACACAGGCCATGGTCTGGCTGATGCTGTGTTGGAGACCTGGCCTACTGGTTAGCAAGCCTGGAATGGACACCTTCCACCACTGCCTGCCTCCCTAGCAAGGCCTGGGGTTGAAGGAAGGGCCTTCCCTGTCGACTAGGGAAGCCGTCTACTTGACACTGTAATACAGAAACACATTCCAGAGGGTGGGAAGCCAGCCTGCTCCTGGGCCCTAAAACAAGTCATCTGGAAAGGCCTCTAAGCAGACGGGGCAAGGAGTAGTCTTCTAGGATGGCTGGGCTCCAAGCTCGTGGCCAGGCCATGGTGGGGCTGAGGGGAAGATGAGCTTCAGCCCGTCTCTGGGCCACTGAGTAGGGAGGCTGAGCTAATCTGAGGCAACCAATGGAGATGGGAGAAGAAGCAAAGCTGGTGAGAGGACAGAGGAGGTGGGAGGAGGGAAGAACTAATTAAAACTTGAATACACTCCATCTGAAATGAGCCACTTCACTGAAATCAATCGGACTCTTTAAAATGAAATTCAACCTATTGACTGAACCTGAGCCCGGCGCCCAGGACAACGCAACTACAAAGAATCCGACATAGGCCTTGCCCTCGTAAAGCTCACACCCTAGAGGAGGCATGGAGAATAAATACATCAAAGTCGTCATTTCACGCAGAGGGACATGTGAGGGCCATGAACTCCCCTCTCCAGGGGAAGGAGTCACAGATGGTAACGTCTGGCCTGGACCTTGAAGGACGAACAGGACTTCACCAGGCCAATACGGGAGAGAAGGGGGCTTCCAGGAAGCGTGAACAGTAAGAGTCTGAGAACCAGAGATACCAGAGGTGTTCGAGATGGCCGGAGCCCACGTGCCCAGCCTGTCAGAGGCCCTGACAGAGAGGGGCAGCAGGAGATGAACAGGAAGTGGCTGAAGATACAGTGTGAGACGCTGGAGCAGGCGGTGCAGGGCCTCGAATGGCAGGGAGAGTGGGTGGCCTACACTGCAGGAGCAACAGAGGGAGAAGGGGGCTCTGCGCCATACGCAGGGCTTGCTGCCGGCAGAGAAATCTGACACAGAAGCTCCTTCCTTCCTTCCTTCCTTCCTTCCTTCCTTCCTTCCTTCCTTCCTTCCTTCTTCTTTCTTAGGGTTTTGCCATACATAGGGCATGTGCCCTTGTCGGAGCGAGACAGACAGGGAAAGTGAGAAATCGCCAACCCCTGGAGGGACGGCCACGCCACATTCCCTTTTCCATTCTCCTCTGGGATTTTGGCCACACACGCATTCGCACCTGGTGTGATTTTTCTCAACTGCTAGGTCTGGGACTCGAACCGCGGTTGGCCATGTGAAGTCCAGTGCTTTAACTCTAGAAAAGCATGGCTGTGTGTGTGTCAGGGACCTGGGGGGGGATATGAGCCCGTGGCCGAGGGTGGACTGAGGGCCCAGAAGACCGAGATGGCCTAGGGCCGATGACTACACAGCTCTTGAGCTGCGAGGCCAGGTGGGGCTGCGGTCGGGCCTGAGGCTGCAGCAGATCCAAGCCCCCACTTCTCCTCGGTGCAGCCTGTGGGCCTCAGTCTCCCTGGGCACTGCTTGGAGGACAAGCTTTGCTCCACGTAGTAAAGGGGGCTCATCTGGGGACTCTGGTGTCGGTGCCTCTGGCAGAGAGGAGGGTCCAGGCCCGCGTCCCTGTGCAAGTAACCAAGAATAGGCCCTCGGGACCTGCACAGCCTATCCTGGGTTACTTGAACGAGGCCGCGGCCTTCGCCAGGCCTTGGTCCTCCTGGTCTTGGAGCCCGTGGCTTCGTTCCTTACGCTAAGCGCTCGGGAGAGCTCCCGACCCCAGCCCTGAGACCCTGGACTATCTACTGCCAAGGAGTCATAGCCAAGTCAAAGGGGGGGGGGCAGGGCAGCACCTGCAAGAGCATGCAGGTATGTGAAGGGTTCATTTCCCTTAACTCTTGCCATGTCCCTGGGCAGCCTCACCGTGGGCTCCCTGTGTAACAGGAGCCAAGGTAACAAACACAGAAGCCTAGGCTTCTCAGATGCTGAGTGAGTTCAGCCCATGCTTTTGCAAATGTTAAACACCCAAGGGCCTGCTGTTTGGGCTCTGTGCAGCTCGGAAAAGCCTGAAGGTGGAGATGCCAGGGAGGAAGTCCCTGTTTCCAGGGACTGCTTCCAGGCATGACCTCCTGGAGAGCAGCCGGAAAGCAAGGATGGGATGGGAGGGCCTTGGGCAACAGGAAAAGAGCCCTGGCCAGAAGGCAGGAGACGGATGCTCTCACTTTAATTCTAGTTACATAACCTTGAACTAACCCATTCCCTGGCCCAGCCTCAGTTTCCCCATCTGGACAATGAGGTATCCGGACCATCTGATTTCCAAAGCCTCGCCAGTTCTGACACCCTACGTTCCAGAGCCGAAGAGATTCAGCCGTTGTTAAGGGAAGATGCCTCGCTGTGGCTCACCCAGAGATTTTTCCCCTCCTTGGGGATCGGGTCAGATCCTCCCTTCTAAGACCTTGGAGTTGACAAGGAAGATGTTCAGACCATCCCTGTGGAACATCTGATGAAAGCCCCACCCTTCCAACCTCCAAGGCTAGTTTACTTAAGATGCTTCTAATAGATTCAGAAACGAAGCTATTTCCAGAAAAGCTTTATGCAGATAAGAAAAAAACAAAAAACAGACCGAAGATGCATGCCAACTGACTAAGGCATCTTTATTCATAGCAGCCTGTGGATCGCAAAGCGCGCCCTCCCCCTCACACTCTTGGGCAGGGTATTTGCTAAGGATTCACTGGAGGATGGGAGGCTGGGAGGCTGGAGTGACAAGATGTCAGGAGCAACCAAAGCTTACGTCAGGAAGTTAATTAGACCCCCCAAGCTCGGCCAGCAGGGGATATGGAAACCTTAGAGGTTGTGCAGGAAATCAAAGAACCGTTTGAACTTGGGAGTCATAACTAACATTTATGAAGATCGTTCTCCTTGTAAACTCGGTATAAAATAAATTCATCCGACTGGAAAAAAGTAGAAAGCCATTGTCCTTCTTATACAAAGACTGCAGTCTTCTGAGTCGGTAATAAAATTATTGCTGAAGGGGACTAGCAGATGGTGTAATGGTTACGTCGCTGGACTCCCACATAGTGGACTGCGGTTCAAGTCCCAGACCCAGTGGCTTAAAACTCACGCTGGGCGCGTGTGCATGTGTGCCCAAAATCCCAAGAGGAGAATGGAGAAGGGATCACAGCATGGCCATCACCTTGGGAGATGCTTTCTGTCTCTCTCTATATCTGGCAAGTGCATGCGCCCTACAGCAAAAATCTCTCTAAAAAAATGATTACTGAAACAGGAATTTAGAAATAAAAGTTCATAGAAAATGAAGTTCCTAAACAATGCTAACCAAGACTGAGATTCAGCTTTGCATTCTTACCTGATGTATAGTTCCATCGATTTCAACAGGAACAATGAAATCAGCATTACTAATGGGCTAGAGAGAAGAGAAACTATAATTAATCGGGAAGTTTCAGCAAGATGGAAGAACGCCAGCATCAGCGTTTGCTGCAGGGAACGGCAGTGCAGGGGGACACGGAAGCAGGCCCGCTCCGTCCCTTGCAGCATGCACGGGCAGGGAAGTCATCGTGGGCTGTCCGAATGCCACTCCTCCCCAGCACCTAGGTCCTCCTCTCCGCCACCTGCCTGGCCTCCACTAGAATGGGGCCCCTCAGAAACCCCGGCTCCTGCCCAGTGTGCTGCCAGGATGACTGGAACCACACCTGGCCACCAGGGGGAAGAGGTGAATGCCCCAAGGCCCTGAGGAAGGTGCTGCTTGTGGGAGAGGAACCTGTCCTTGGACCACCAGTGGGGCTGGCCGGCTGCTCGGCAGGAGGGCTCAGGAAGTGGACCCAGAGCAGGGCCGAGGACAAAGGGGGTGAAGTCAGAGCCACAGGCCGTGAACTGGGCAGGCTCTTCCTCTCCCAGGGCCTCAGTCTCCCCTCTTCTGTAGCTGCAGAACTGCCTCTGAGGCATGCCCACGCAGCCTGGAGAATCAGGGACATCAGGGATTGCTCAGCATCCCTCTCTTCCTGCCCTCCGCAGGGAGACAGCCCACCCTCCACTGCTCTGCTCTACGGGACAATGCCCAGCACACCTACAGGCTTCCAGACATTGAAAACTACTCCTGGAAGATATGACTGACGTTTAAAACACAAATGTGATTCTTCAGCAATCACTGTCCTCAGTAATGGACTTACACCTCTAAGGGGCCAGCAGATGGCGTCATGGTTACGTCACTGGACTCCCACAGAGTCGACCATGGTTCATTTCCAAACCCAGTGGCTTAAAACTCACACGGGAGGGGGAAGGAGGAAGGGCTTTGTGCCCAAAATCCCGGGAGGGAAACGGAGGTGAAAGAATTATGGCGAGGCCATCCCACGGGGGGAGATTACTCGCTTTCTGTCTGTCTCTCTCTGTCTGTCTCTGGCGAGAGTGCATGCATCCTTTAGCAAAAAGCTCTCTAAAAATAAAACTTAAATAAAAAAAAAATAAATGGCATTCCACAAATTAAATAGAAATCAATTGAAATGAATAGGCCCGACAGAACACCTGCCAGCAAACCGTCGAGACAGAGGGAAGGAGAGTGTGTGTGTGGTGGCCCCTGGGTGGAGCGTGGGGACCGGAGTCCTGGTCAGACTGAACTCAGATTGCCTTTAAACCCGTCACCGGACACGCCTTCTTCGATACCTACGCTGGAAAGGCAGGAAATGCCAGGTGTGGACCGCGATGAAGCCCTGTGGGCAGCACCCACAGCTTAACCTCACGGCTTACTTGCCCTCAGGGTCAGGCCAGGGATGAGTTCATGTTTTTTAACCGGGATCCTAACCCGGGCCCCTCGCCTGTGTATTGCACAGCTTTGCACTTTCAAGGGGAGAGGGATTTAAGCTTTCAGGTTCTCAAAAGGTTCTGGAGTGCCTAGAACATTAAAAACCATACACTAGGGGACCAGCAGATGGCGCAGCAGTTACGTCACTGGATTCCCACATGGCTGAGCTGGTGGGAATTGGGTTCGAATGCTGAACCTAGTGGTTTCAAACATGCCGGGTGCGTGCATGCCCAAGATCCCAGGAGGAGAATGGAGGAAAAGGGGTTGTGGCATGGCC